ACTCAAGGCTTTACCCGCAGAAGGGGTATCACAGTTCCAGAAGATTTTAGGGGTTTCCCAATAGACCGACTTCCCTCAGCATTACTCGGCAAATCAGTAGGTCTCACAGCTTCATATGTGTGAAGCAAGTAGGGGCTGTATCCTATGCCATTTAATGGGTTCGAAGGAGGTTTTCCATTGCGCGGTTGCGTGGTGAATCTTTCATTTTCCTGCTATTTATCTGTCGGCAAGACATGCTCAACCAGCACCTAGGCATAGAGGATAGGCGTGAGAGGCCAACTCTCCTAATGCCATGCCTTGCCCCTGTCATTTAACCGTCATTGTCAAAACCTCTAAAGCCCAATGTAGTTCTGGCATGAAGGTGGTCTATGGCAGCCTTTAGACTGGTCACACAGATTTTGCTTAGATTTTAGTTCAATCTGAATTTATTAAAGATTTGTAAATGTGGTACAAAAAGGCAGACAGACAACTCCACCTTGACAAAAAAAACAAAACACAATTCATAAAAGGTGTGGGGGGGGGGAGAAAGCAAAAACCGAAAAGGGCGGATAAAACCTGCTACGTAACGTTAAAGAATCTAGCAAAGCTAGAACACACTATCTCCTATAGGAGATGTGTCACCTATGTGGGGGAGGTGACTGAACAAGGAGGAGCGGAGATGCTTACCAGGGCTCACATGGAAAAAAAAATCATTCAACAACAAGTTATCCCCATAACCTGAGTGAGCTAAATCAAACAAGCATATAAAAACTGAAAAACACAAGACCATGGATGCATGAATATGGACCCACCCAGGTCCCACAGCGGAAAGCCAGCATAGCCAGGTTAAGTATAGCGGTCACTGTGGCATGTAGGTCAGGGCCCTGGGTAGCCTCCGGTATCCCACGCAGGCGGATGTTGTTGCGCCTGCTCCGGTTTTCGCTGTCTTCCATTCGCAGGTGTAACTGCTGGAGGTGGGAGCGGTGGGTGGCATGGGCATTTTCTAGGCTCACCAGCCTGGACTCCTGTGCTGAGACTGAGGCTGACAGAACTGATAGATGGGAGTCAGTGGCTGTCATCCTCTGGTCGAACTCTCTCACCTCTCCCCGCAGAGCCCCCTCCAATCTAGTGGCCCAGGAGTCAAAGTCCGCCCGAAAGGCGGTGAGAAGGTCACGTACCTCTGTGGCTGCAGATTCTGTGCCTGTAGCTGCAGGCCGGTCTGTGTCATGGGATACTGCCGGCATCGATTGATCCGGGGCGATCTCGGCAGAACTCGGGGCTTTAGAGGAGTGGGAAGGCTGCAGGGCATCCAGTGTCCTCTGTCCCGTGGAGCGGACCGACGAGCGGAGGCCCTGGGCTGGCGTCTGAGGCTGCGGGGGATCCGTCCCGGCCTTCTTCGCCGGAGCGATTTTCGGCAGCATCATGCGGCCTACAGGTGCGGCGCCATCTAGCGGACCTGCGCGGGAGTGCCGCGTGAAATATGAGGCAATGTCCCGGGTGACGGAGGAAGCAGGGGAACCGGGTGAGTCCCGACCGTCGGGCATAGGGGACGAGAGCAGCCTAAAAGGCTAGAAAGTCACTGAATAAGAGCCCCGGTGTAGCAGAGCCCCTGTCTGCACGTCTTCACACCACCATGGCCGGTCACGCCCCCTTGCTTAGATTTTATTTGGTATATCAGCAAACTGTATGAATGAATAAGTAGCCTAAGAAAGAAGATGCGCCTGGTCACAGAGTATCTCAAATAAACCTGTTAGAATCCTGAGAATTTCAATTGGACCATATGGTGGAAATAAGCACCATTCACCTTCAGTGAAAACTGCAATTTAGAATGATCAACAGATCCAGAGATATAGGAAACTGAAGTTATAAGTAAATGGCAGGATTTACTGCAACACTTAAGCTTAGCCCTACTAACGTTTGGCAGTGATTGATCCATTAATGTGATGTCAGGCTCATCAACAAATAGGAAATCTTGGAAAGTAGGAGGGGGCTAGCCAATGCTTGGTTTTTACAGCACAGATTTGTATCTTGCTTTTTCATATGACTTCCACTCCACCCACTTCCCCCTCCCCAGTCGATTCCCTCTCCCAGATTACCTCACTACACGTACCTATTTCTATTTTTGTTTCTCAGATGCGAGTGATAACCTGTGTGAGAGGGAGGGGACCATGATGTCCTGTACTCCAGGAACTAGGTTGAATGATTTTGGGTGTCATACCACCTGAAAGAGGATCAGTGCTGAAACTAGTGGGTGAATCTGCAGGGGGGTGAGGTGGGGTGTGTGGTGCTTAGTGCAGCAAGAACTGCATTTTATGTTTTTACATTTTTAGAAAGGGTAGGCTGCTGATTAAAAAAAGAAATCCACTTCACTTTAAACTGTAAACAAAAATGCAAATCTGGTGGCAATTCTGTAAATTAAGCGAGTTGACTAGGTAACAAGACCATTACAATGACATAAATGCAATGCCAGCAAGTTGAAACCATTTTTTTTTCCCTAGTATATATTCTCCTCCAATGTGTACATTTAGAAAGTACATGTGTAGTGTTCCTATTCTGTGAAGTGCAGGTACAGAAATGACCCTGCAAGTATTACAAATATCCCTCTATGTCTGCTGCTCTTTCAACTACACAAGTGTCAAAGTTGTCACTGGCCTTGAGTATTGTCAGTTAGGTTCAGATGAATCCAATATTATTATGTATTGGGACCGTTTTAGTCATACGTGTGCCAAATCCTTTTTTGTTCCATATCTTCTGCCAAACTTGTAAATGTATCATCCTCTTTTTACATTTATCTATTTTTATGGCATTTTGCAAACAAATTAAGCAATTCTAAATGTAATGGCCAAAAATTGTTCAAAACTAGGGCAGGACTTTATCAGCATATGTATGCTGTCCTTGTACTACTGCCCCACATTTTAAAGCTTTGAATATCAAACATCTAGATCAGTGAGAATCTACCTTAAAAGAGAACTATAGCCCAACCTTTTTTGGCCATAGTTCTCTTTAGGGTCACAGGATGACATTTACCATGTCCTCCTGTGACCCAAATCTCAGCCTCTAGAGGACTATTGCCCACTGTATGCTGACAGCGCACCAATCCCCTTCCCCATCCATCCTTTCAGTATGAACAGTCACTGACAGGGAGAAGATCGGGAACTGAGCATCAGCGGTATGTAATCGCTCAGTTCTCGATCAATAGAGCAAACCGGTGACAGCTTCAGTGTCACACTTCAGCTCTAATTAACTAGTAATAATTTCCTTCTCCCCATAATTCTCCTTTAACTGCATATGGCAAAATGTAAGCAAAGTTGGATCAGTAGCTCAGTCTGTAATGTACGTACATCCTAAATTTAAGGCTGGATTCACACCACTTGCATTGTGTTTATTGCACATTGACAAGCACTAAACACACTTGGGTTGACATGCATTAATGTGCATTTTCAATGAGTGCATTAATGTGCATTTTTTTGTTCACAGCAGGAGCCAAAATACTTTATTTTTCTTTCATTCAAGCTAAACTCTAGGCATAAATATAAAAAAAACCTTGCCTCCGCTTTAATGTGAGTTCTAGCATGCATGTGTTGATATGAACTGGGCCTGTTGGAAACCATGGATTTCAGCTTGCCATTGCGTTGGGCCTTGGGCTGTGTTGCTGTGTTGAGCAACACAGCCCAACACAGGTGTTAATGCGTCCTTAGAGGAATTGTACAGAAAGTTAACTGCAAGCACAAATTTTGAGTGAATTGTATAACCAAGATGGACATTTTTAATTAGATCATATTATAGTACCTTTTCAGTTCTACGATTTGGCCTGTGACAATCACTGGGATTACACGATCATATTCTGTGTGCAGCAAATTGACAAAGTTTTAGATACAAACCTCTTTAAAGCTGAACTCCAGCCAAGCAACTAGATGTGTGATTGAAATACACTCATGTGAACTGAACATTTGTCATTCTGTTTAGTCAGGCTGACAGCAACAGCGCTTGGACATCTCTGACAGTCTGACTGGCTCACAGTGTTGTCCTTACCTCTCTTAGCAGGACTGCTATACAAGAGAAAATCATGTGTCTAAGGCTCCATTCACACATTAGCTGTTTTCCGCGCGTATTTGTTGTTCATATTGTTGTTCATACTTGTGCAACGTCCGCATGGTAGGAAAACGTGCATCGCACAAAAAAGTCCAAATATAGTAATAGCTACAAACGTGAAGAATTCACGCGTATGTTAACGTTTGTGCGCTTTTGTGCCACGACAAAAACGCTAACGCTATGTGTGAATGGAGCCTTAGTCTTCTCTCCCATGGGTTGTGCCTCATGATTTGCCCAACATTGTCAAGTAGGGGTTGTGTAAGAACCATAGCCCTGTGTAAGTTATAAGTCAGTTTGGAGCTTTAACAGGGCTTTCTATCCTCCTTCTCATTGGCTGAATGGAGGGACAGGGAGCAGAGAGACAGGAAAATATGCTGTTGGGGAAATTAAGTGACCCTATTGAAATTATCTACTACCTGGGACCCCCAGTGTCAAAGCCACCCTGCCCATCTAGATCCAACGTGTTAAGGTGCCCATACACTGCACGATTATCGTACGATAATCGTATGCGATCGGTTTTTCGTACGATAATCGAGCAGTGTGAACGGAGACGTGCGACCGTTTCTACTGTATGGTCGCACGTCTTCTGTCGAACCAGCATGTTCGAAAACCAGCAGGGAATCGTACGATTCTCGGCTGGTTAGAACGGTGCTCGGAAGACAAATGCCGAACGGGCCGGTGTGCGGCCCTCAGGGGGGCGGGCTTGCGATGATCGAGAGTGCGATCTGCCTGTCCAAGATGGGCAGATCGTACGTTTTTTTAATCCCTGTACAACCATCGCAAGACTGAAGTCTTGCGATGGTTGTACAGTGTATGGCCACCTTTAGTCATGGCCCTACTTGAGGAATGAATGTAGCAATTGCTGCTTTAACCCCTTAGTAGCTTGCTGAGATTTATGTGTATAATGATTGAGTGTAAGTGAAACCCACCTATCTCCACAGTTTCAGTTTCAATCTCTTGTTCGTCTGCAACATCTTGCATCATAAAGGTCTCATCATCATACACCAGCACCTGGGCAGCATAGCCCTCCTCCAAACGTGCACTGGGAACTGGTTCCACTATAACAGCAGGGTATTCAGTGACTTGTACTTCTTCCTGTGGGACCAAACAATTCCCAAGAGAGTCAATTCAGAGTCTTTGTTAGGTTCTATAAATAAACCATCCATGTTAAGTAGCCTGTAAGTCATACAAATCAGGAGTACATAAATCAAGGCAAACATTTTGGCCCATTATGCTGCATTCAGGTGATTAAACTAAAAACTAAAAACCGGCTGTAAAAGTTACAAATGCCAGTGCAATCTACACATCACTTAAAAGGAGAACTATGAGGTAAGAGAGGATCACTCATCCTCATAGTTCAAGCCAACGTGTGACAATGAAACTGTCACACGTCGACTCAATAGATCAGGAAGTGAGCGAATGCATACCGCTGTATGCTCGCTCACTGAACGCTGTAGCTCGCGATATACCGAGCTTTGGGGCACAGGAGGAGGTTAGTATGTGTCCTCCCGTGACCCTTAAGAGAACTATGGGGAAAACACTTACCCCATAGTTCTCTTTTAATACTGTATTTTTAACCAGGGGATTTACCAGCCATACATGCTGCAGGAATCCACACAAGAATACTGATCTAAAGGGTATTACAATGAACATTTTCCATAAACTATGCCTGAAATAACCAAAGGATAAAACAACAATAACACCTAAAAAAGAACTGCGGGCACACATTTAAGTAACTCTTGCTATGGAACTACCCTCTGCACTGCAAGGGTTAAAGTGACATTAAAGTAAAAACATTTTTCCCTGCCCCCAATGTTAATGAAAGCACTTACCTTAAATGATGTCTCTTAATCCGATCTTCTTCTTCTTTCCTGTCCTTTTCATCTGTCCATCCAGCGGTGCAGCGGGTCTCCGATCCAGCGGTGCACGCGTCCATAGACTTGCCTTGTGTCTCTCCTCGCGTCCCGGCCGAAAATGTGAACTGCGCATGCTCCCGCCCCAAGGTGCTTTGCAGCCGCCCGTGCATCTTCACATTTTCGGACGGGATACACTTTTTGCATATATCTACTGCCTGCTAGCAGTAGATTGATGCAAAAAAAACCAGAGGCTTTAATGGAGCCGGTCGGCTCTTAGACCAGTCCCTGGAGTGTCTCTCCCCCTACACTGCAGAGGTCTAAGGTCACTGAGTCATCACGTTATATACACAGTGTATAGGACGTGAGGACCCCAAGGGACATACCATCGCTTTAGCGGAGGAGGAGACAGGCTGGAAGGAGCTCTGCTGGTTCAGAGGATAGGTAAGTATAACTTTTTTTTACCTAGCCTAAAATGAGCAGTTAACCCTTGCAGTGCAGGGATAGCCAAACTGCAAGGGTTAATACAAATTGTACCCGCAGTTCTTCTTTAAGGGTCTATTCACAAAAGGTCGAGATTTTTATTTTAGATTTTCTGCTGCCTGCTACAACCTTAGGCCAGACTTATGGACATTATTCTTCTTCCCTGCATGCTCTGTAGCTTCACCAGTACTGCCAGAACTCACTCACACTCGTTATCTCCTGCTTCCATGGGCTAGTCTCCACCCAATAGAGCAGGGTGAACTCAGGGGCTGCAACCTGGGGTCAGCACACAGCTTAGTCCAAACCTCTGTGAGGGGTCCCTAATGGAACACCAGCTGGCCCTTACACATCACCTGCTCACATGAGAATTCACTTCCTCACTTTCAAACCTCCATGAGGCAGTTCCCAGTGGTACAAAGGCTGCTCCTTAGACTCAGTGTCGCGGGGGATCCAACTGCACCTGCACTCATGTGAGTTGACTACATACGGCTACTTGACAGTATATTTCCCTTTTTCTGGGATGCATCCAATATTTACTAGTATGCGAGTCACATTTGTTATGCCCTTGGATCTTTTAAAAGCAGCAGAATAGGTGAACTTTTCCTGTGTATGAATTTTATGTACATGAAGTCTGGAAAGACAGCAGATATGTCTCAGATTTATGAGATATAACTTCACATACAAAGGTGGCTATGGTAAAACTATTCTTCCATTTTTCTTATACTAATCTGGAAGAAGGAAAACTGACTGATGCATGAGGGTAATCCACTAAGGCATGTGCAGTATTTTCATTACCATGCATTGTTTTTACAGTTACAAATTACACAAATTTTCAGTTTAAAGACTTTATCGCACAACTAAAACACATATTTAATAGTTGCACTTTTTGAGGTATTTAGAATGTATAAGTCAATTCAGAAAGATTGGTGCATGGGTTATTGTTCTTCAAAATACTGCAAGCTTAAGGATGACAATAACCATGATTTTCTATGAGATACCTTGGGAGGAGCAATTGCATTCTCTTACTTACAAAATCTATTTCATGTGACAATATAAATTCCACACTTTTTTTATGGGGTAACCTTTTTATCCCATAGTTCTCTCTAGGGTCACGGGAGGACATATACTAACGTTCTCCTGTAACCCAAAGCTCAGTATATAGTGGACTATTGCCTACTATATACTGAGAGCGCTGCAGCCGGGACAAATCCCGACAATACTGTCGAGATCCACCCAGCTGGCTGATCTACAGGCAGAGCCAGCTGTGCCCGCCCCCTCCCCAGTCCATTCCTCCAGTCAGTGCTGGAGGATCAGAGAGGGGAGGGGGGAATCCCTGCGGGGAGCGGTGACTGACGGTCACTGCTCTCTTCAGGGAGATGACCGGGAAGTGAGCCAGCGACCGTATGTGTTTGCTCACTTCCTGATCTATAGATTCAACGTGTAACATTTAAATATCACACATCGGCTCTAACTATGAGGATAAGTGGAAATCACTCACCTCATCGTTCTCCTAATTCCTTGAATTTGTTGAGAAAATGAAGATGAGACAAAGCAAAAAACAGTCATAATAACTTTTTTTTATCTAAGGCAGCAAGAGGAGTTCTCTCTACAGACACATGTATGAATTATGTAAATATAAAACTTGTAGTTATAGGGGCATTCCAGTGTCCACCATGCAGTTTTCTCAACAATTCTAAAGTGTAAAAACGAGCATATGGTTGTCATTTGAATCTAAATTAAGTAATCTTCAGATATAAGAAAAAACTGCACTCCATATAACCATCCATATTGTTATTTGTGGCTGTGAAACCCTCCCTGGCTGCTACCATCACCCAGCAAGAACTGGAGTGGGGCTCTCCCCGTACTGTAGGAGTTTAATTGCTTGTTTTTATCTGGAGGCAACTTCAGTTTTACTTATCCCTCACTCCTGCATGGGTCCTCTTAGCTGCACAAGAAGTCTCTTGAAGCGGCTTTTCTTTGCCACAATGATGTCATCACATACAATGCAGAACCAGCAGTCCTTCACTGTAAGGCCTCATTCACACCGCTAAGAGCCGTCCCGTATAGATCTGTGCGGCTTGCACGGCCGCATCAGGCCGCTTCCGGGAAGGACCGGTGCTGCCTGTGATTGCACGCAGCAGCCTATTCTTTTCTACGGGAGTACGTGGCCGTATGCCGCCGTACGCTCACCCAAACTGCACAGCCGTGCAGGTGTCCGTGCTCAGACGCAGACAGGATGCATCCTGTCTGCGTACAAGTACGGTCACCCGCACGGAAGTGCAGCTCGGGTGAGCGCACGCCTGCGTACTCCCATAGAGCACAAGCAGCACCTGTCCTTCCTGGGAGCGGCCCGATACGGCCGTGCATGCCGCACGTATCTGTACGGGACGGCTCTTAGCGGTGTGAATGAGGCCTAAGTGGGGACACCAATGGGGCACCCACAACCCAGAGCATCACAGGAAAGAGGAGAGCATTGGCTGCTGGGGGAGCAAGGGATAAATTTAGCAAAACTGCTGTTGATGTACCCTCTATACCAAGACAAGCAATTAACCCTGGCAGTGCAGGAAGAGGGGCCACTTTTTATTTTAGTCAGTTTAGCTTGAATTAGTGAGTGCTAAGTGACTAGGCGAAACAATAAAACATTTGTCCAAGAACTTGCAAAGGTTAGAGGCTTAATCACATTGAGTAATGAATGCATTAAAATCGAAATCCTTAAGTAAGGCACCTTTTTCTCCTATAAATCATTTCAGAGGGTACTGGATAAATCTATACACATCAAAGTAAACCTGAAGTGCAATTACAGATCACATCATGTGGTTAAAAAATGTTGAAACATTGTACTGATGTTCTGATCTCTTGAAAAATACATTACATCATGAGCAGACAGGGAAAGCTAACCTTTTATTCACTCTATGTGGTTTTCTCACCTGATCTGGATTCTCAACACCATTGCTGACAAAGTCTCCCACTGAGCCACCACCATCCACCACAGCGGAGGTCATGTTGCATCCCACAAGTCTAGCTGCAAGCTGAGACTACACAATGCGCTGGCTAAAGAGACACACCACTCAGGTCTTCACACTAATCCTGAAAGAGATTTAAAAAAAAATAGTAATTTATTTATTTATATATTATTTGTATTTATATAGTAACAACAAATTATGCAGCACTTTACATAGTTGCACATTCACATCAGTCCCTGCCCTCAAGGAGCTTACAATCTAAGGTCCCTAACTCACATACACACAGGGCCAATTTAGAAGGAGGCCAATTAAGCATGTCTTTGGCGTGTTGGAGGAAACCGGAGTACCTGGGGGGAAACCCATGCAAGCACAGGGAGAACATGCAAACTCCTTGCAGATAGTAGTTATAAAAAATAAAATAAACCCCACAGAAAAGTATAAGAATCAAAGTGCAAGAGCAGGCTTTTGCCAATCCTATGCACATTTACTAAGAAGTAATTAGTTTACTATATCATACAAGTATTATTTACATAATAATATTTGAATAGGATTAATATGAAGATTTAATTAAAATTTGATATATTGCATTCCTTCCTTATCCCGAAAGAAAATGCACAACAAAACTGAATTCATATCATCAACCAGTGCTAAGGATATTATTTTTTGAGCGACAGAGACGGGTGTCTTTTGAGAGACAGACAGATGTCAACAGTCTATTTTTTCTATAAAGCACTACAAAGTATACTGATGCTTTATAATGTGGGAATTAAAGTTTTATTATGTGGGAATTAAAGCTTATCTAAATCCCAACGCAACAATGTAATATATTGCAGCTTAGCATGCGATGGCTGCATTTGACTTCTTTTTCCTTTACTTTCACCTGGTGATCTGGTCAGTAAATCTGTTATTTTCCATGGTCCCTTAACAGACCAAACTGTCCTACAAAAGTGGCAAATAGAGGGTTGAGACAAACCATGTAACACTGACAGGGGCACTTACAATAAATAGTCAGCTTGTTTAATTTATGTAAGACCTTTATCCCAAAACTAAATAAAACAGAAAAAAACTGTTGCTGTAACTGCTTAATAAGTGCTAACTGGAGTTCAGCTTTAATTTGTTAGCCAAGCCCATCTAAATCTGCTAGTACATCTAAAGCTGGGTATACACGGTTATATTTTCTTCTTTCAAACTGTGGACTGAACAAAGAAAATATAACAGATTGCTTCATTACGCTAATCGGCTGCAAGACCCGTTCGGCCCGAAGATTTTGCAACCTGTTCTTTCGATCAGCTGATCGAGGAACGTGGGGCAGAAGGTGCTGACTAGGGATGTTCAGATACCAGTATCTGTATTGGTGCCGATACTTGGCATTTTCACGAGAACAACCAGGGTTGCAGCTGCAACTGGGCTCTGGAGCTCCACCACTGTCCTGAAATCATTATTCTGTATTGTTTTAGAAAAAAAGGTATCAGTAATTGTATCTGTGAGTACTTGAACAAGTACTTGTGCTTGGTCAGCAAAAAATGGTATTGATGCATCCCTAATTTTATATATATATATATATTAAAAAAATCATACATTAAAACAGGAATGCACAAATCCCAGGAGCCCCGTAGCCAATGCTCCTTATGGACTTGTTCACACCATGTCCAGACCAGAACAGTTTGTTCCCGGAAAAAAAAAGCATCCCAATGTATTCCTATGGTATTTCTGGGCTCTGTTCACATCAGCGCAGTCCATGCCAGACAAAAAAATATATACTGCTTGTGTAATTGTCTCCTGTCTGGAATGCACTGGAACGCATCAAAAATGCATGCAAATGCACTGGACCGCACCTGAAAGCCCATTTTAAGCGGGGGGGGGAAAAAGAACACTCGTGGCAAAATTGCAGCAAAAGCGCAATGTCCCCACTAGTGAAAGGCAAAGCAAAAATGTCCTCAACAGGGAAAATGATGTGTACATGAGATTACATTGTAGAGTCCTTCCTCTGTAAAAGAGGTGCTTAGAATGCTGACAAATACAAATGTGGTTTTGTTTTAAGTGGTCCTGCTGAGGTTTCTAATAAATAAATTGCTGTGCACATCATAGTTGTTAAAATAGCCCAGTGAACAAGAGCAAAGTACAGAAACTTGTTCAACATTAACTACAATTTCACTGAGATTGGACATTTCTAGTTTATTAAGTCACAACTATTATTTAGACAAGCAGGTAGCTGCGCTATTTTTTCCATATACATCAGGAGCGTTCATGCGATCAAACCTAGGAATTTCTAAAAACATTTTTAACCAAGATCTAGCTATAAACATGCACAACTGGATTACCCAGAGCATACATCTTTATGTCTATGAAGGAAAACATAACATAGGGACACTCCATGCATTAAGATGGCCACAGACCATAGCATTACACAGTCATTGGTAAACGTAGCTGATCCAACAGATCACTACCAAGTACATTTTACAGTGACACTAAACTCAGGAGTTAAATCTTAAAAGTACATTCAAGCACCTTAACTATTAACAAGAATGTATCTTATTTGTGTATCACTCGGCTGTAGATCCTCAAATCATCTCTGAATTGGTGCTGACACTGTCCTTCCTTCTGGAGGGTGGCTACTTCTGTTCCCCATGGTCCCTCTGTGTGTGTAAAGTAGCCACCGCTCCAATCACTGTGGTGGACTACAATCTTAATACAAAGTAGTAAACTAAACATGATATTGTAGTCCATCACAGGGGTGAGCTTTGAGCGGTGGCTACTTTACAACCCACAGAGGGACCATGGGGAACAGAAGTAGCCACCCTCCAGAAGGAAGGACAGTGTCAGCACCAATTCAGAGATGATTTGAGGTTGTACAGCCCAAATACACACAATGCACAAATAAGCTACATTTTTGTTAATAGGTACTTGAATGCATTTTTAAGATTTAACTCCTGAGTTTAATGTCACTTGAAAGTTGAATACATTTTTATAAATAGCTTGTAAAATGCAGGAGCAGTGTGCATTCAACACTGTGGTGTACAGTGGAGAGCGGTATCTGGTTTCCATTTCAACTAGGACCCTAAATGTTAGTCTTATATAATAAAATGATTTCAAAAAGTCATACGGTATAAAACAACTACATATTCAATAAAGTATATAATACATTCAGGACTAATTATAATGAGATTTACAGACTTCTTGAACTGTAAATGCAAAATACAACTTCCAGAAATGTAATTACGCTAGCTAATAGCATCTCATGGCTATGCTGCTGGGGGAAAACATTATGCGCTGGATAAAAGCTGGTAAGAAGCAGAGTATGTAATAATAACAGTGCCGCAAGACATCAGGACATAACAACAAGAGAGCACAAACAAACAACCCACTCAGTACGGTTTGACTCGTATTGTAAGGGCTCTCAGCCAAACAGACTTAATTCATCAACCATATAACAAAAAGTAACTAGACTATGGGCTACTATCCACAATGAACTGTACACATGAGAAAAGGGCATCGCACTACAATCTGTCCGACTGGCATTCTCAACAAAACACAAAATGGGACAGGCCAATCACCAAAATCTCAGAGAAGCTTTATGCAATTTCAAGAGTCATTTTTAATCTTTTTAAACCAGCAGCAGAAACCAGTGATGGCTGTGGGGGGACCATTGAGATGGACACTCCCGAATGTGTTTGTTCCCCAATGGACTGGGGGGGACCAGTTCTAGCAACTGGAAAGGAGTTTAGAGGTTTAGGCACCTGGAAATATTTTTTTTTACAGGTATTTGCTTGGTTCAAACTATTTGGATATGTGTTAAGGTCACGTCAAAGCCCTAGAGTAGAACAGGAGGGACACCAAAAGAATTATTTTCAGGAACAGTATTAAAAAAATAAAAAAAAAACTGCAGGCAGTGTAGATAGGGTTGCCACCTGTCCAGGATTCACCCGGACAGTCCTGGTTTTGAATGCTGTGTCCGGGTTTCATGGCAGCAGAAACCCGGACACAAGATGTCAGGCAGACAGGGGCAACCAAAGTTAGGATAGGGGCTACTGGCCCCCCACTGAAAATAGTCTCAACTAATATACTTACATATGAATGGGTGTCGCTATTTACACGACTAAGCCACGACTCATTCTTCCCAAAAAATATCCGTGTGTCGCTAGAGTGTTCGGGTTTTGCTTGAAGAAAAGGTGGCAGCCCTAAGTGTAGAGGATGCGGTTGCTGAACTTTGTTATGTGAATCCAATGGCTTCAATATATTTTAAGACACAGAGTTGGAAAAGGGATGCAGATTAGGGGTTCTGACATCACTCTGACCTTCTAATGTGCATGCTTCTTTAGGGTCAACGTGTGTCAGAAAACAGAATCTGGGAACGCCAAGCACCTAGTAATCTTGGGCAGCCCTTGTATTTCTCTTTCTGCATTAAGACTGGTAACATACCTTTAGAGCCTATTCACACCATAGCTTGTGCTAAAGGCACGGTATTCGTGCACTGCAATTCAATCTGCACGGCACCTCCCACTGGGCATGCATGGTACTGCAATACCATGCAAAAAAGTGGAATATGCATGATTTTTTTTCACTGCACAGCCGCTCTTACAGTATAAGAGAAAGTGCCTGAGCAAGGATCTTCATGGCAGGATCTTCAGGTATGATTTTAATAAGGCTGCAGTTTTTTAAATTATAATTAAGTGTTAAAGATTATATGAGATTTTAGTGATTTGATTTAGATGTACTTTCATAAATAAAAATCTAAGACATTAGTTGATATCTTTTTAAAACACACTTTGTTGGTCTTTTTGGTTTTACACCAAGTTACAATCAAGCTTGAAGGGCCTATTCACAACACAGCATTGCTCTAAAGGCGCGGTATCTGTTTGATGTTTGCAAGCTATTGCACAGCGCATTGCATCGTATGCTGGGTGCGCTGGTTTCTTTACATTGCCATTCAGCTGGGGTGCCATTTCAAGAAACCGGTGCACCTAGCATGCGGTGCATTGCGCTGTGAGATAGCGAGCGAAAAACAAACAGATACTGTGCCTTTAGCACAACGCTATGGTGTAAATAAGCCCCTTAAGCTTGATTGTAGCTTGGAGTAAAACAAACAAAGGTGTTTAAAAAGATAACAACTAAAGTCTTACATTT